CCCATTGGGGCTGGAAAGATGGCTCAGTGGTTAAAAGCACATACCTTTCTTGCAGATGACCTCAGTTTTGTTTCCAGCACCCACATCAGGTGGCTCACAACCTCCTGTAACTCCAGCTCTAACAGGATCTGACATCTTGTCTGGCCTCTGTGGACACTGCACTCATGTGCACATACCTACACACAGACACAGACACACAGACAGACAGACACACACACACATAATTTTTAAAAAGTAAAATGAAATCTAAAACAGGCGTTGCCCATCAATCCCCGCTTTAATAAGCATTTCTATCAGGAAAGGATGTTGAATTTTATTAAATGCATACTCAGCACTTACAAGGGAGACAGGATCTCCCTGTAGACCCAGCTGGCCTGGATTTGCTATGGAAACCAGGCTGGCCTCGAACTCAGAGATCTGCCTGCCTCTGCCTCCTGAGTGCTGAGATTTAAAGGCATGCGCCACCATGCCCGGCTCTTTCTTTATTTTTTAAAATATTTTATTATTTTTATTTTATGTGTATGTGTGTATTACTTGTGTGTAGGTAAGTGCACCCATGTCGTGCAATGTCCATGGAGGACAGAAGATGGTGTCAAATCCCTTAGAACTGGAGTTACAAATGGTTATTAGCTGCCATGTGGGTGTTCTTAACCACTGAACCAACTCTCCAGGCTCTTAAGCGGTCTTTCTCTTTCTTTCTTTCTTTCCTTCCTTCCTTCCTTCCTTCCTTCCTTCCTTCCCTCCTTCCTTCCCCCTCCTTCCCTCCCTCCCCCCCTCTCTCTTTTTGTCTTTTTGAGACAGGGTCTCTGTTGTAGCCCCAGCTGGCCTGGAACTCACTATGTAGACAGACTGGCCTTGAACTCACAGAGATCTGCTTGCCTCTGCCTCCAGAGTTCTGGGATTAAAGGTGTGTGCCACCACACCTATCAGGAGGTTTCTTAATATTGAACCATCCTTGTACTCCTGAGCTAAATTCCCTTTGGTTCTTTAGTGTCTGGAGTCACCCAACTTGAGAGGCTCTTTTGACTGAGTAACTACCGTAGTCTTCTCTATAGACATGTGCAGTGTTGGTAACTACATGCTCGACTACAGATCCTGAAGTAAGGACCTACTGGTTTGATTCTCTCCCAGGAATCTCAGCTCACAGTCTTTCCTGGAGTAATTAATGGACAGTAGAAACCGGAATTTCCCACCAAGTTGGAAACTGTGATTCTGATCTCAGTCTTTTCTAGTTCATCCTCTTGTTGTTTTTGTTAATTGTCACTGCAAAACAAACAAAACAAACCATAACATATTAAACCCCCCGAAAATATAACCACAGAGAGCCTTTATCCTGTTTCATCCTGTTTTGTTTATGTAACGTTTTGGAGAATGTCCCAACAGGCTTAGTCTCTGTGCTATTCTAAAACTAAACTTGAAACCCATTGCCCTAATGTTCTCAAGAATGAAATGAAAAACAAAAAAAAAAGGCAAAAAGTTCTGAATTGGAAACAAAGAAAAGCCTTTGGCTCTCAGTCACGCCTCAGGATGTGATCTCCATCAGTAGGACAGCCTGATTGTTAAGACAGTGGTCTGGGGGCTGGAGAGATGTCTCGGCAGTTAAGAGGAAGTACTGCTTTTGCAGAGGACCTGAGTTTGAGTCACAGGTCAGGTGGCTCACAACTGCCTGTAACAAAGTTCCAGGGGGTCTAACACCTTCTTCTGGACTTCGTGGGTACCTGCACTCATATGTGCACATACTCGCACAAAGATACACACATCACATAATTTAAAATAAAATCAATCTTAAAAGCAAAGGGAAGGGGCTGGAGAGATGGTTCAGCACTTAAGAACACTGGTTTACTCTTACAGAGGACCCAGGTTTGGTTCCCAGCACACACATGGCAGCTAACAACCATCTGTAACTCCACTTCCAGGGGATTCAACAACCTCCTCTGACCTCTGCAGGCATTGCACCCATGTAGTACACCTACATACATGCAGGCAAAACACTCATATACATTAAAAGGGGGAGGGCAGTGGTCTAGCATGGTGTGGTAGCACGTGTCTGTTTACTTGGGAGACAGAGACAGAAGGACTGAGAGTTTGAAGCCAGCCTGGCTGCATAGCAAGACCCGGTTCCAAGAACCAAAACAAGCCAGTGGTCTCTGGCTCATCTGTTTGGGCTAAAATCTCTGATCTGCCCCTAATTGGGACACAGCAATTCACCCTTCTGCTCCTCCGTTTCCTCATCTTCCCTTGGGCTTTGCTGTGGGAATGCAGTGAGTTCATGTGTGGAAAATTCTCCCAGTACAAGGAAGCCTCCAGTAAATGTGAGGACCCTTAATGGGACAGAGAACCCAGCAGAGCCTGGGCCAGGCTGTCTCTGCCTTCATTGTTCTCCGACCTTGGCTGATCCTGATTTTTTTGCAGATAGGTGCAGGGTACGCTGAGACAGGTGATGGGCTAGTTCTCAAGGTCAGGGACATTCACCATGAAGTCAAAGAAAAACATTTAAGAAATTCAGTTTGGGAGCTGGAAAGATGACTCAGGGGTTAAGAGAGCTTGCAGCTCTTCCAGAGGACCCCAGTTCCGTTCCCAGAGTCCACGTCTGGTGGCTCACAACCACCTGTAACTCCAGCTTACACCCCTCTCCTGGCCTCCTTGGGCACCTGCACACACAGACACACATACATATATTTTAAAAATTATTATTTTTTATTAAATTTATGTATTTTTATTTTATGCATATGAATGTTTTGTTTGCATGTATGTAAGTGTACCCATGACAATGCAATGTCTGCAGAGGCCAAACAAGGGTGTCAGGTCCCCTGGAGCTGGAGTTTTCTTTCTTGTTTTTGTTGTTGTTGTCTTTTGGTCTTTTTGAGACAGTGTCTCCCTGTAGCCCCAGCTGGCCTGGAACTTGCTCTATAGACCAGGCTGGCCTGGAACTCACAGAGATCTTCCTCTGCTTCCCAAGTGCTGGGACTAAAGGTGTGTGCCACCAGGCCTGGCAAGCTGGAGTTTTGAATGGTTGTTAGTTGTCATGTGGGTGCTGGGAACTGAACCTGGGTCCTCTGCAAGAAGTTAGGGCTCTTAACTGCTGAGCCATCTCTCTACTCATAATTAATTTTTCAAATTTCCTTTTTCCTTATTTATGTGTTGTGTTTAAGTGTTTTGCCTGTAAGTATACAGTGCACCATATGCCTGCAATGCCTGTGGAGGCCAGAAGGGGGCGTCAGATAACTCGGAACTGGAGTTACATATGTTTTGTCAGCCGCCATGTGGGTCCTCTGCAAGAGCAGCCAATGCTCTTAACTGCTGAGCCATCTCTCCAGCCCTATATTTTTCCTTTTGTAACTACTTGGGCTGCAGAAAGCAAAGGAACAGGACTGAAGATCACCTCAGTAGACATTTTAAGTTATGAATCCATGAGTGAATGGAAAGGGCCAGACCTGTCTCTGGTCTTTAGTTCTGGAGACAGCAGCTTTGTGTAAAGGGAGCTAGTTTGCTTTTGACCAGATCATCCACAAAATGGGTCTGTTAAGTAATGCTGATCATGGGCCACATGGCATTTATACCTGAGGGTCAGGGGGCATACTGCCTGTGGACAGAGGGGACAGTTTTGCATGGTAAGTGAGTGTGAAGGGAGAGCCCCTGGGCCCGGGAAGGCTGGACAACACTCAGATAGGGCAGCCTTCAAAATTCTGAACAGCATTGGGCTATGCTCCAAAAGCTGTTCTGTCTGACTGGGTGAAGCAAGAGCCAGGGTGCACCCTTCTCCTTCTTCAGCTTGTTTTTGAGGAGCTCTTTATTTTTAAATTCGGAAGTACGGTTTAAAATAAAACGTGTGGAACTTAAGCATTCAATTTGGTGATGCATTACTGTAACAAAGTATCGTGAACTTGATAGCTTATTATAGCAACAGAACTGTGTTCTCACAGGTCTGGTGGTAAGAAATCCAAAATTGAAGTGTTGATAGGGCTGTGTGCTTGTAGACTGGAGGGGAAGATCCTGCTGTCTCTCTCCAGCTTTCAGTGGCTATCACAGTTCCTGGGCCCCTTTACTTGCACACACGCATCTCCCCACTTTATACCTTGTCGTCATGTGGTACTCTGTGCATCTCTAGTTCCTTCTCTAATGAGAATAGTTGTTGGAGGCCCGGGGATACAGCTTAATTGGTAGAGTGCTTGCCTACTATGCACCAAGCCCGGAGTTCCATCCCCAGCCCTGCATGAAAGCCGGACACGGTGGTGCATGCCTGTAATCCCAGCACTTGGAAGGTGGATGCCGGAGGATCAGGTGTTCAAGGTCATCCTCAGCTACATGGTACACTTAAGGCCAGCCTGGGCTACTTGAAATCTTATCTGAAAAGAAAAGAAAACATCGTGAGTATGGGGAGAACACAACTACTGCATTAGGACCAACACCAATCTGGCTTGACCTCACTCTAATTTTATTAATTACATCTGCAAATACCCTGGCAGTGTCCATGCTGAGGTCCCAGTGGCTGTGACTTTGGAGGAAGGGGGAACTGTTTACCTTAGTATAATGGCATCTGACAACTGTGTGACCATCACTCCCGGCCAAGAAGTGGAACATGCCCAGTACCTCACAAAGCTCTTTCAAGCCCCTTTCTAGCCAGGTCCTACCAGCCCTACCCACCCCAGATAACCAGAGTTGATATCTACCACTGTAGATAAGTGTGTGTGGGAGTTGGCCTATTTTGCATTTTAATAAATGACATTACAGAGTGTATAATCTTTTGCTTGACTTCTTTCCCCCCAAAATAATGCTTTTGACCTTCATTCAAGCTATTAAGTGGATGGGTAATTTGTTCCTTCTGATTGCTGAGTAGTATTCCATGATATGATATGCCTGATCTTCTAGGGGTAGATATTTGGATTATATTCTATTTTGGGAACTGCATTATATTAGTCACTTGTCTCATTACTGTGACAAAATACCTGATAAAAGGAAGAAAGCGTTTATTTTGGCTTTTATTTTATTTTTATTTTCAGTGTGAAGATGCGTGGTGGGGAAGTCACAGTAGCAGGATCTTGAGGCAGTTGGACACATTGTATCCACGGTCAGGAAGCAGAGGAGGTAAATGCTGGTGCTCAGCCCCCTTTCTCCTTTCTACTCAGACTAGGATCCCAGCCCATGGGATGGTGCTACTCTTCCCACCTCCATTAGCCTAACCTAGAAATCCCTCATCCATATGCCCAGAGATTTGTTTCCATGGTGATTCTAAATCCCACCCAGTTGACAAGATTAGCCATCACAGGCATGCCATTTATAATATGAACATGGCACGTGCCATTTATAATATGAACATAGCAGCATATTCTTCATTCTTTTTACTTTTGTTTTTAGTTTGTATTCACGTGTGTATGCATGTGTGGGGAGGGGTATACATGCACATGTAAGTGTGTGTGAGCCTGTGGAAGTCAGAGGTCAAAGATTAGTGTCTTTCTCTTGCTTTTCATCTTTGTGTGTTTGTGTGTGTGTGTGTATGTGTGTGTGTGTGTGTATCTATATGATGGCTCCATGTTTCTGTGCAAGTGAACATGCCTGTGTTTGCCAAGGTCAAGGTCGAGGGGAGTTTTCCACTATTGCTCTTCAAATTTTTTGTTTGTTTGTTGATGTAGCCCTGGCTGGCCTAGAGCTCCATCTGTGTAGACCAGGCTGGCCTCAAACTCACAGAGATCCACCTGTCTCTGCCTCCTTAGTGCTGGGATTAAAGGTGTGCATACCACACTTGGTTCACCTTATTTTTTGAGGCAGTCTCTTTCACTGAACCTGGAGTTTATTGATTTGGCTAGACTGGGCCCCGCCTGTCTCCACTTCCCAGCTCTTACAGGACATGCCACCATGCCTGGCTTTTTATATGTGTGCGAGGATACAAACTCAGGGCCTCATGCTTGTGTAGAAGGTACTTTATCACCTGAACCATTTCTCTAGGCCCTTGGCCTTTGTTTTTTGTTTTGGTTATTTGAGACAGGGTCTCCCTGTAGCCCTAGCTGGCCTGGAACTTCCTATGTAGACAAGGCTGGCCTCCATCTCAAAGAAATCTGCTTCCTGGGTGCTTGGATTAAAGACATGTACCACTACTTCTGGCTTGGTTTTGTTTTTAATATTTTATTTATTAAAATATTATGTGTATGTTGCCTGCATGCTGTAAGTGCATCTACGTCATGCAATGCCCAAGGAGGTCAGGAGAGGATGTGGGATCCCCTGGAACTGGAGTTATAAATGATTGTTAGTTGCCATGTGAGTACTGGGATTCAAACCTGGGTCTCCTACAAGAACAGCCAGGGCTCTTAACTGCTTTTAAAAGCTATCTCTTCAGCCCCTGGTTTTGTTTTTTGAGAAAGAGTGCTTCTATGTAATTCAGGCTGGCCTCGAACTCACAGTAATCCTTCTGTCTCAGTCTCCTGAGTATTGGAAACACAGGCCTGTGGTTTCACATCCGGCTCTCCTTTATTCTTTATGTATATGTATTTTGATTTTTCTAGATTAAATATGAGAAATACAGTAGTTGGGCCACAGGGTAAGTGTATGTTTGCTAGAATTGCCAGTCTCCAAAATGATTATACCAATTTATGCCTCTCCTCCTCCTCCTTCCTCTCTTCCTCCTTCCTCTCTTCCTCCTCCTCCTCGTCCTCGTCCTCCTCCTTTATCCTCTTCCTTCTCCTGGGGATTGAACTCAGGGGGCCCTTATGCACACAGATCTTTCCTTAGTGCTTGAGTTGTTTCCAGGGTTTCTGTTGTTTGTTTTGAGTGTGAGCAGAAATGCAATGAACATCCCGGCACACACATCTCTAAGATGGTTTTAGGGTCATTAGTGTGGCTTGCTATCCACACTACAAATCAGAGTTAAATGTGTTTGTTCCATTCACACTGCCAGAGCCCTGGGTAGCCTTGAGCTAGCCCTGCTTCCAGCCAGGCAGAGCTCTGGGGCTGGTGTCATTGCTATCCCTAGAGGAGACTTTCCTGTTCCCTGTCCCCTCTTCCTCATAGTCCCCTGACAGTCTGCACACGAGTTCCCATGATGCTGCCTTCTGCTTGTTCACTGACTCTGCTTCCCTACTGACCTGTTTGCTCTCCCTGGAACAGTGACAAGTGGGTGAAGTGTTGACTGTGAGGCCATGTCCAGTGCAGCCTTCCCAGAACTGCTACTGGCCTTGAGCCCTTTCTGAAACAGGGCTTTGGTGAGCTGTATTTGTTTAGCTCCTATGGCTGATGTCACCCTGATGCTCTGTGTCCTGTCATTATTTAGAGAATTTTCTCTAAACCATGTGCCATAGTCGATTTGGATGGTATTCCATGGTGCCTGCATCCTATAGTAAATAACACTGAATCCAGCTGGTCAGTGTGGTGCACACCTATAATCCCAGTGCTTGGACTGTGAGGCATGAGGATCACAAATTCTAGGCCAGACTGTGTGAAACTCTGTCCCCAAAACCCCCAAACCAGGCTGGTAAGATGACTTAGCAGGGAGATGCTTGCTTGCTTGACACCTGAGTTCTGTTCCTGGAACCCACAGTGGAAGGAGACCACCAGCTTCTAAAAGTTGTCCTCTGACTACCCATACTTACTATTGCCTGCATGTGCGCACACACGCACACACACACACATACAATAATAATAATTAATAATAATAAACTAAAAAGTCTTAAAAACAAACTCCAAACAACAAGAAAACATTGAACTTGCTGGGTATTGGGGCTGGAGAGATGGTTCAGCAGTTAAGGGCATTGGCTGTTCTTGCAGAAGACCCAGGTTCAAATTCCAGAATTTGAACATGGCAGCTAACAACTGTTTTTAACTCTGTAACTCCAGTTCCAGGGAATCCGACACTCTCTTCTGTCCTCCACGGGCACTGCACGACATGAGTGCACTTACACACATTCAGGCATAACACTCATACACATAAAATAAAAATAAATCAAAAAAGAAAAGAAAAGAAATTGCCAGGTATGGTGGTGCACGTCTTTAATCCCAGCATTTAGGAGGTGGAAGGAGGTAGATCTCTGAAAGCTTGAGGCCAGCCTGGTATGCATGAGTTCCAGGCCAGCTAGGGCTACAGGGAGAACTTGTCCTTTAAAAAAATGAAATTACTTTTTGGTTCTTTTAAAAAGTATTTTTTAAAAAATTTACATATATGGGTATATTGCCTACATGTAGGTAAGTGCACCCATGTCATGCAAGGTCGGAAGAAGGCATCAGATTCCTTGGGACTGGAGTTATAGGCAGTTGTTAGCAGCCATGTGGGTGCTGGGATTTCAACCTGGGTCCTCTGCAAGAGCAACTAGTGCTCTTAGCCGCTGAGCCAACTTTCCAGTCCTGCTTTCTGGTTCCTATTTAACCCTTCCTTTTCTAGGATGTGGTGTCTCAGCATCTCATAGTTGGTGTTGCTGGCATCTGGGGCTGGAGGAGTCTTTGCTGTGGGGTGTGGTTCTGTGCCTCATAGAACATTTAGCAGCGCCCTTCACTTCTGCTCACTAGATGCCAGTCAACACCCAGGTCCTCATTTGTGGTCACCAACAACATCTTCGGACATTGCCAAATGTCCCTAAGCGGGCAAAGTCATTCTGAGTTGAGAATTGATGCTCTAAGGAAAATACTCAGCCTGGTAGTAATATATTTTGGGTGTTTTGGTTGTTAGCCTTAGTCTTTAATGCTGTACCATCTATCCAGACCTGGTGCTAATATATTTTAACAACTCTTTAACTCTTTTCGATCCCCAGGCCCAGGAGTGTATTTGACAAGAAATCACTCTAGGCCAGGCATGGTGGCACATACTCAGGAAGCAGAGGCAGGCAGGATCAAGTCCAGCCTGATCTACACAGGGAGTTCCAGCCCAGCTGGAGCTACAGGGAGACCCTGCCCCCAAAATCCAAAACCCAAACAAAACAAAAAAGGATCACTATAGGGGCTGGTGAGATGGCTCAGTGGACAAAGGTGCTTGCCACTAATTCTGACAAACCTGAGTTCAATCCTCTGGGGACAGATGTGGTAGCACAGACCTTTAATCTCAGCAGAGTTTGGTGGGTCTCTGTGAGATTAAGGCCAGTCTGGTAAATATAGTGAGTTCCTGTCTATCTGGGACTAGAAAAAGACCCTGTCTCAAAAAAACCAAAAACAAAAAAAGATGTCCTCTGACCTCCACACATGCACTGTGGCGTGCACACACACCCTCTCTCTACTAAATAAATAAACAAACAAAATATTTTTTAAAAATCACTCTATGCTGGGCATGGTGGTGCACGCCTTTAATCCCAGCACTTGGGAGGCAGGGGCAGGCAGATCTCTGTGAGTTCAAGGCCAGCCTGGTCTACATAGTGAGTTCCAAGACAGCTGGGGCTACAGGGAGACTCTGCCTCAAAAAGACCAAAAAAAAAAAAAAAATCACTCTAAGTGGCTTTGAGCTTTCTGGGTAAAGGCAGTGAGGTGTAGAGCCCAGTCAATCCCAGCTTGAGAAACAGCTGCTTGGAAACAAACCACATGGGCCTGGATCCTATCTGATTTCAGAGGAATGCCAGATGTAGGAGGAAAGCACAATATTTCATTGGTATCAGGCACCTTGGCAAAGCTAGATTTGCTACTGCCTCTCCTTGCCTTGTGGGAAAAGACTCCACCGGAAACCAAGAGTTGGAAGACTGAACTTGGCAAACCCCCATCCATGAAAGAATAGAACCAGCCAGTAAGCAACATGAGCAGTGAGTGTGGCTAGCGTGGGCTTCCATCTGTGATCATGGTGAGGGCTAGAGCTGGTGTCAGCTCCAGACGCATGTAGGCAGAAGTGGAGAAGGCAGGGCTGGCAAGATGGCTCAGTGGGTAAAGTTCTTGTCGCTCAAGCCTGGAGACCTGAGTTTGATCCCTGGAACCCATGAAAAGATGAAAGTAGAGAATTGACTCAATGAAGCTGTCGTCTGATACACAGGCACACACACACACACACAACAACAACAACAATAATAATAATAATTTTTTTAAAAAAGAAGTGGAGAGGGCAGAGGAGCAGTGGACCTGTACCAAGGTCCACAGGTGGCAGAGGCTGCACAGTAGATCTGCCAAGAAAAAAAACTGTAGATTATATT